CATATATCCGAAATATATTTTGCACATAAGTGTTGATTGTGATTGTCTTGTTATCTGCGATACCGGAGGGATCGAACATCCAAAAGCGCGGATCCTTAGTATCTAAATGTTGACCACAAGCTTACATCCCCTATGCAGTTGGACAGGAAGAACAGCTTTGTCCTGATTGATAATTGCAGACGAAAGTCGTGAGCACGGATGATACATAAGTCCCACATAACATATCGTGCAAAACGTTTGCAAAATAGTGTGGAGACAAAGTCTTCAACATATCTCCACCTATGGAGGATGTGGACAACAATCTCATATCTTTGAACTCCATTTACAACATCTGCATTCCATAATGTCTACCGTTCGTTTCCCGAACGCCAGTCTCAATGTTAGAGCAAAACCCACTCGTTTGCATATATCACTCTCATCGTTTAGTATTACAAGGAGAAAAGCGTGAGTAAAGCATACCATTGACCCGTACAACTGTAGAAAGCTCACACTAGTGTATACCAACCGTAAGATGGGAGATACTTTAACGGACAAGTGAAACTTACACCGAATTAAAATGAGGCTACCGTCGCTGTGCTGCGTACGTTCCAAACTATGAAAACATTTTGAGAATGGTCCACATTATTCATGAATCTATTTTGATACCCTTTTAGTGCGTTATAGGTGGAAGGGATTTTTGATACAAAACGTCCCATGATCAGTATGTTTTACATTACAAACTTACGTTCAACCTTGGGCTTTCGATGACAAAGAAAACGGTGGCGGTAAAATTTATAAAAGGACATATAGCAGAGTATCATCGATATTATGACAAATATGTGTTTGACATGTTGCTCAATGAAGCAGGCCACGTGGTACACGGTGTTCTGTGTACCTAATCCCAAACGCAGAACTCTCGCTGTTTCATTCGGCAATCTCATTGGTATACGCTTTTAGACCTACCTCCTCTTACACCCAGCAAAGTCGTGCACTCTTAAGTCTCAGATCTTCAATCATCGAAAGTTTGTGGTAAGAGTGCTTTGAGCGTGTACCGATTTTAGAAGTACAACGTTGTGAATTTTACTGAATGAACGAACATACATGTTTCTATTTAATTATCTAACCTTAGGAATGTCAAGAATAGTTGTAAAACTGAAAATAACAAGTTCAGTACTGAAAGCTTAATATAAAAGTAATTTGAAGACCATAAGCGACCATTTTAGCTACTACATAAAATCACTAAATATCATTTGTTTTTGCCAATTATCATCTACGCCGGAGAGATGATATGCGTATGTCTCGTTTACAGTGTAGTTGGTATTCTTGTCTCGTTCGGCCATGGTATTAGTGATTTACAGAGGAGTACAAATCGTTGGGGGTTTCGATCTCGTCATCCTCTTGTACTTGACTGGTGAGGGCATCTTATTTTTATTGGAAACAATTGTAAGTGGAAATTGTGAAATTATGATATTTATAAGATAGCTTGGAACAATGTAGTCAAATAATGCTCCTGAGCTGTCTATGGTGGTAAAAGGACTCTTCAAGATGGCATCTACTAACAAGACATGGCTTGCGTTATTTGCGCGATTCAACTGTTTTCTTTTACTCACGCTTTTCTCCTTGTAATACTAAACGATGAGTGATATATGCAAACGAGTGGGTTTTGCTCTAACATTGAGACTGGCGTTCGGGAAACGAACGGTAGACATTATGGAATGCAGATGTTGTAAATGGAGTTCAAAGATATGAGATTGTTGTCCACATCCTCCATAGGTGGAGATATGTTGAAGACTTTGTCTCCACACTATTTTGCAAACGTTTTGCACGATATGTTATGTGGGACTTATGTATCATCCGTGCTCACGACTTTCGTCTGCAATTATCAATCAGGACAAAGCTGTTCTTCCTGTCCAACTGCATAGGGGATGTAAGCTTGTGGTCAACATTTAGATACTAAGGATCCGCGCTTTTGGATGTTCGATCCCTCCGGTATCGCAGATAACAAGACAATCACAATCAACACTTATGTGCAAAATATATTTCGGATATATGTTCAGAAGGACTCGCCTACACTGGTAGTGTTAGAGAGCGG